AAGACATAAAAACAACCCAAACAAAACCACCTGACAGAATTCAGAATAATTCTTGATAAAAGATTTCACTGATTCAGGAATAGAGGAGAACATTCTCAACCTGATAGTGGGCACCTATAAAAAAAACTGGAACCTAGCCATCCAACTTAATAGTAAAGGCTCTAATGCTTTCCACCCCAAGGTAAGGAATAGGTAAGGATGTCTGCTCTTACCACTTGTCAACAAAGTACTGGAGGTACTAATGTAATTGGATAAGTTAAAGAAATAAAAGACATATAGATTGGAAGAAAGAGGTAAAATGTCTTTGACAATAGAACATGACTGTATAACTAAGGAAATGCCAAAGAATCCATGAAAAAGGTACCTGAACTTACAGAATTTTTCTTTTCTTCCCCAAAGATTTTACTTATTTGAGAGAGAGAGCAAGTGAATCCATGAGCAAGGAGATGGGCAGAGGGAGAGGGAGAAGCAGACTCCCCGTTGATCGGGGAGCCCAATGTGGGGCTTGATCCCAGGACCCTGAGACCATGAACTGAGCTAAAAGCAGACGCTTAACCAACTGAGCCCCAGGGGACCCTGAACTAACTGAATTTAGAAAGTCACAAGGCTGGGATCCCTGGGTGGCGCAGCGGTTTGGCGCCTGCCTTTGGCCCAGGGCGCAATCCTGGAGACCCGGGATCAAGTTCCACGTCGGGCTCCCGGTGCATGGAGCCTGCTTCTCCCTCTGCCTGTGTCTCTGCCTCTCTCTCTCTCTATCATAAATAAATAAAAATTAAAAAAAAAAAAAGAAAGAAAGTCACAAGGCCAGTGCATAAAAAACAAGTTTATTCTATGTATTAGCAATAATTAAAAATTGAAATTAAGGGATCCCTGGGTGGCGCAGTGGTTTAGCGCCTGCCTTTGGCCCAGGGCGCGATCCTGGAGACCCGGGATCGAATCCCACGTCGGGCTCTCTGCATGGAGCCTGCTTCTCCCTCTGCCTGTGTCTCTGCCTCTCTCTCTCTCTTTCTCTCTGTGTGACTATCATAAATAAATAAAATTAAAAAAAGAATTAAAAAAAATTGAAATTAAAAAATTCCATTTACTAATCATAAAAAAATATGAAATACTTTGGGATAAATTTAACAAAGTATGTGCAAAGCCTGCACAGTGACAACTGAAAAACTTTGACAGAAATCAGAACTAAATTAATACAAAAATAATGCCATTACCAATAATACCATGTTTATGGATAAGATGCAATATTGTTGTCAATTCTCCCCAAATTAATCAATAGATTTGCTATATTCCCAACCAAAATTTCAGCCATTTTTTTCCCCAGAAACTGGACTTCGTGATGCTAAAATTTAAACAGACATGCAAAGGACTGAGAAAAGCCACATAGATTTGATAAATATAAATACAACGGGAGATTGTATACTGCTTAATTTTAAGATTTTCTAGAAATCTACAGCAATCAGGACTGTTTATTGTACCAACAGAAGGACACACAAATGGATCAATGGAACAGAAATAAACCTAGACATACTTATCAGTTTATTTTTAACAAAGGCACTAAGATAACTTTATAAATGCAGAATTCAACATTAACAAACGCTGCTATAATGACTAGATTGACACATGGAAAAAAATGATCCTTGAATTCTGTTGCACAGCAAACTAAAGCTAGTAGAAATAGGTCATAAGCTAAAATTTAAACCATAAAGCTTTAAAAATTCTAAAAAATAGCACAGGAGAAAATCTTTGTGATTTTAGATGTACATGATACAAAAATATGAATTATGAAAATTGATAAATTGAACTTGATTAAAATTAAACATCTATGCTCTTTGAAAGATACTGTAATCAAAAGTTTAAGAAGAAAATTTTTGAAGACTGGAAGTTAACTAGCTGGTGGTGTTGAGGGCAGTGAGTAGCATGGGGGACAGCAGGATGGTGAGAGGAGGAACAGGGTATGTTGGAGGGGCGGCCAGGAGGCTGGTGAGGCAGCAGAGGCCAGGTCCTGGACATCAGGGGAGGCTACCACAGGGTGTGTTGGAACAAAACTCTTTTCTTCCCCAGTTCTCCTAAGTGATCATACTCCCTTACTGTCCTCTCCTGCTGCCAATCTCCCTGGTAAGTCTTGCTTTGCACATGTAGGTCTTCCCCAGCTGTGTGTGTCCTGCTCCCAACGTTTCCCATCAGTACTCTCATCACCCCCCAACCCACTGCTCAGTTTCACCTGTGCAATGTAATCTCAAGTCAACTTCTCCAGCCTTTCTCTTTAGGGCCAGGCCCTTATTTCCAAACCATGATTTGGACCTCAACCCCTGGAGAACTTGGTGTCCATTCCTCCTCCTGTTCTAAATCCCCCCACTCCTCCCATATTCATGGTCTTCCCTAATGGCCAAATATGCCACACTGGGTGGGTGGGGGGAAGCACATGCCCTAAGAGCCATCTGGCATGGACTTATATCGGAGCTTTCTTTAGGAGAATAGAAGCTTAACCATTCTGTCCCTCCTGCCTCCCTCTGCATATCTGCCCTCTCTCCATCTTTGGGAAATGGAAATTAAGACCAAAATGAGGTACTAGCATGTACCTTCCAACACAGCTAAAATTAAAGACTCCACTCATCTTTCAATATTTAAATGTCAGGGCTTCCAAGTGCTTTACGCCTCTACTCTTTACCCTTAGGCATCGGCCATTCCTTTAGGCCTAGGCCAGGCCTCTGGCCCGTTACGTGCTCTTGGAGCATTCCATGTGTCTCCTTTGGAGCACAGAAAAAGGTCAAATAAATCATTTCCCGTACATTAGTTTTCGAATCTATTTCTTTCCTCCTTGTAGGTAAGGTCCATAAGGGCAGGAACCAAGTTTATCTAAATTAGGAGTTGGTTAACTTTTTCTGAGAAGGGCCAAATAGCATGTATTTTCAGCTTTCTGGGCCATAGGCCTTCGTCACAACTATTCAACTCTGCCATTGTAGCTGGAGAGCACTTGAGACATCATGTGAGTGAAGGTGACTGTGATTTGATAAAATTTTATTTACAAAAACAAGAGGTGGGACCAAGGTCCAGGATTTGCTGACCCCTGGTCTAAATCACCAGCACCCAGTCTAGCATCTGGCATATAGAAGGCACTCAATGGATAAAGAAAAAAAAAAAAAAGCCCTTGGTTTTGGCAATGAGATGGAAACCGGTACATAGGGAGGGTGGTTTTAGTGAAATTGAGGCAACACTGAAGAGGGTTGAAGAGAGAGCAGCAGCTGAGGAAGGAGTGAGTTCTCTTCCAAGAGTGCCACCACCGGTATGGCGCTTGGGGAATGGTATTGTCTTAGTAAGGCAGGTAAAAGTGGAGCATGTTTGCAGGCTGTGACAAGAAAAAAGCAAGGCAGGGGAAGAAAGGGAGAACTGGTGAGGAGGGCCCTCCAGAGCTCAGGTGTGTGAGGAGTCAGGCACAGAGGAGGAACACACTCGCTTTGGCTGAGAAAAAAGGAACTAGGAAAAGTGGAAGGAAACTCGGGGAACACCTCATTTCCTCCTTCCTGTGAAACGTGAGCCAAGAACACCCGGCAAAGAGGACGGGACTCCAGGTGAGGAACTATAAGCATCTGTCAGAATGGGAGGGCTGGCAAATGGGTGCATGGACACCCCAGACAGGGCTGCGGGCCTGTCAGCCTCACTGCTACCGGAGCTAGACACCTCCCTGTCCTCTGGCTGTCTCTGAGAGAGCGCTTTTAACCAAAGTGGTGTTTGCATCTTGCAGAGCTGTGTTTTCCGCTCAGGCCCAGTGTGAAAGGTGTTACTCACTGAGTCACCAGCACTACCTGCTATCACTTCCTGTCACTTCTCTTTCCCAGGCAGGTAGCAACAGGCAGGCCCTGAGGCGGATGAGGTCACGTTTTAAACATGTGCACATACCCAGTTCTTTCTTGAAGGATATCAAAAGGCATTTTAATTTCAGAAATTTAGTAAGTAGTGGTTTCATCCCCATGCCTTTGAATGCGTATGTCGTAAAACATTTCTGTATTGGGCAGAATTGGATTTTTCTTTAAATGGGAGAAACCATTTGATTGGAGGGGGGTGCGCAATAAAAAATAGCATAGCAGCGATTTAATTTTGCAAGCCTAACATAGAATTAAAACCTATAAAACGCAACTTCTCACAAGGTAAGTCATTAACATTACTGTATCTAAATACCCTGAAAAGTTTTCTGAGTGAAAAACCTACAACAGCCAGTTTCACGTATATCCAAAGTAACAGACACCCGGAAAACGCTGACAATTCAACATTAATTTATTAATTCGCTATTATTATTAGTGCAGGCAGGTATGAGAGGGGTTCAGATAGGTAGCAGCAATGACAGGGCCTCAGCCCTGTCCTGGGCGTCCACATCTCCGTCTGCCGGCCCTCCCTGTCTGACATGTGTCCTGTTTCTCAGGAGGAACTAAAACCATCTAAATAACTTTTTAGTTGGTATGCCTGAAAGAACAGTATCAGGACCTGTCACCTTCTGCTTTGTTTCAAGATTGACTGCCGCTGGTATTTTTATTTATGGACTGACGTACGTTCTACTAAGCAGCGCTTCCATTCCTATTTTTTAAAATTAATTAATTAATTAATTAATTTATTTATTTATGATAGAGAGAGAGAGAGGCAGAGACACAGGAGGAGAGAGAAGCAGGCTCCATACCAGGAGCCTGACGTGGGACTCGATCTCGGGACTCCAGGATCGCGCCCTGGGCCAAAGGCAGGCGCCAAACTGCTGAGCCACCCAGGGATCCCCTCCATTCCTATTTTTATTTTGAAGTTTCCCCCTCACCAATCAAAAGGTGACTTTCCCAAAACACATCAATCCTCACTGCATGCTTCCAAGTCCTTCCAGGGACGATGGAAAGGAAACCACGGGCCTGGGAAATGCACTGAGAATGGCGACGCCTCCCCACTCCCAGGAACACACCTTTTTTTTGGAAGGGCTTCCGGGACACCTTCACACACAGACTCGATAAACTTAAATCTCTTACCCTATCGTCGGGTTGATGTTTGGATCAAAACTGTCTTCCACGAACCGCCACACGATGCTCGATTTACCTACGCCCGTATCCTGGAAAAGGAGGAGGCGGGTAAACACAAGTAAGTTCACCTGCTTGCAGACGGAGAACACCGCTTCGGGGCCTTTGCTCGCTCGCTCGCTCGGCATCTCGCAAACATCAATTCGGGCGCGGGTTTTCAGGACGTCAAGGGGCACAGGGTGTTTGTAAACATTCAGTGGGAGGGAGGGGATTTCGAGGGGTACTTAACCGTAGGAGTGGGAGGGTGGGGATGGGGTGGGGGTGGGGGTGGGGGTGGGAATGTCTTGCAGTTTTTACCGGGACACCAGAACCTTCTGAGAAGCCCAAAGTTTGTGCTTGGCGTGGTAAAGCCACAAACTCACTTTCTGACACGTGGAGGTAGACTATGAACTCCTGAAATTACTCGAGCGATCCCTGATAGGGTCACAGCCCCGCCCTACTTGGGAAGGGGTGGGGGTGGGGGTGCTGGAGCTGCTGGTGCTGGACTAGTTACTGGGATCCCTTTCGGTCTCCAAAGCAGCCACTCAGGCAAAAAGAGCCCCAACTCCACAGGGCGTGACCTGAGGGCGCCAAGATGCTCCGTCGAGGCAGGAAGCTGAAGCTTCCAACTCGTTTTTTTTTTTTTTTTTTGGGGGGGGGGGCTTCCTGATTCGAACGTGCCCCTCCCCCCGCCCCCCCCCCCGAGAAAGTAGCTCAGTGAGAAGTGTCCCCGAGCGTGTCCCACAAACTCCGAACAAACGAGAAAAGGAGACGAACTCTGCTTGCAAAAGCCGCACGAGGAAGACCGGCGGCGGGGCTGCGCCTCGGGGCGACTCGGCCAACTTGCACCGAGCCCGCCGGCGGGAAGCCGTCGGGGGCCTCGGCGTCCGCGGGCCGGGTCCCCCCGCAGGGCCGGGACGAGGTGGCAGGACGGCCCCGCGGGCCGCGGCGGGGGAGGGGGCGCAGGGGACGTGGGCGCGCCTGGGGCCCCGGCCTGCCCGGCCTGCCCGGCCTCCCGCGGCCCTCCCGGCCGGCCCGCCGCCACTCACCCCCAGCAGGCACACTTTGAGCTCCCTCAGCGCCATGGCCCGGGAGCCAGGGGCGCGGGCCCGCCGCCGCCCTAAGTTGAGGAGGGAGAGGCCGGGCCCAGCACGAGCATCCCCCGGCGCCGCCGCCGCACGGCTCGGCCCCGGCCGCGGGGCGCGCAGAGGCGGCGGCTGCCCGCTCGCCAGCCCTCGGCCCGGCCCGTCCGTCGCCAGCCGCGCGCGCGAGGGGCCCGCCTCAGCAGCCGGGACGCTGCCTCGGCCTCCCGGGCGCCGCCGCCGCCGCCGCCGCCATCTTGGGACGCTGGCCGGGTCACCTGACCTCCCCGCCCACCTCGGCAGCCACCTTCGCCGCGAGGGCGGGGCCTGGCCGGCGCCGCGAGGCTCGCGGGGCGGGGCCTGCCCGAGGGGGCGGGGCGGGGCCCGGAGGCCCCGCCCCTCGCCCACCGGCCCCGCCCTCCCGCGCGGACCCCGCCTCCTGGCCCATCCCAAGATGGCGGGGGAGTGGGGTTGGCTCCCCGGGCGCAGGGGCGGGAGAGCGGGGAGGGGCCTGCCCGAGGGGGGGGCGGGGCTGGGAGCCCGAGGCCCCGCCCCCTCGCCGCACCGGCCCCGCCCTCCCGCGCGGACCCCGCCTCCTGGCCCATCCCAAGATGGCGGGTGAGTGGGGTTGGCTCCCGGGGCGCAGGGGCGGGGGAGCGGGGAGGGGGGGTCGGAGGGGGCGGGAGCCCCCCCATCGAGGCCGCGGCCCCCTCCTTGTGTGTAACTCCTGTGTGTTTCTTGGTTTTCAGAGATCCCCCTGTACTTTGTGGACTTGCACGATGACTTAGACGATTGTAAGTAGCAGTTGGGGGGCCCCCGCCCCCGCCCCTCCCCGGGAACCTCTCACGCGGCTCGGGGTGCGCGGAACGCTGCGGGCGGGGGCGGCTGCGGGCCAGGCCCCTCCTGTCGGGACGGAGGAGCGGGACCCCGACCGCCGGGAGGATGCACTTGTGGCGGTGCCTCCTCGCGGGGCGGGGCGGGGCGGGCTGGGGATGGGGAGCCCTCCCCTCCTCCCCTCCTCCCCTCCTCCCCTCCTCCCCTCCTCCCCTCCTGCGGGAGGATCTGGGTCGTTGGGAAACTTCTGACTTCCGGTCACTTTGTGTCTCTTCCTCCTCTTGCTCCGGCCGCGGCCCCCGGGGGGGGGGGGCGGGAGGGGCGGGAGGGTCGTCCCGGGGCCTGGTGGTGGCTCCGCGGCCGCCGCGGGGTTGGGGAGACTTCTACCCGGGCTCTCCGCGTTTCCCCAGGGCGTTCCGGGGTCTGGGAGGTGCGGGCCCCTGTGTGGACTCCAGCCCAGCCCCGCGTCCTACCCCGAAGCGCCCTGTGGGGCCGGCGTGCCTCTAGGGGCCCCTCCTGCCCTCTCCTGCCCTCTCCTGCCCTTTGGGGTCACCTGCAGGACTGCTGGCCGGGGGAGGTGGCCTCCCGCAAGGGCAGGTGCAGGTCCGCATTCGTGGTGAATGAGGCATTTCCTTTCCCTCCAACAAACGTTTCTTGAGCACCTACTTATTCAGGGCCAGGCCACGTGCAGCGCCCGAGACCTACAAAGATGAACCAGAAACAAGGACAGCTTTCTTTCCAGGGGGTTCACAGCACAGACATGGTAAACAGAAAATAACCAAGCCCTGGGATGCTTGCTGCGGCAGGAGGTCTGTACAACCACGGGAGCAGCTAACGTTAATCGGGGCCTACTGTCCATCTTTCCTCCCCCGGCTGCAGGTTTCCTTATGTCATGAAAGTTGGTGTTTATTGAAAACGTACCGCAGGTCACGGGCAGTTTTAAACTCTGTTCATAGACATTCTGTTAGAAGGAAGCAACATTACTGAAATAGGTGGTGCCGGAAGGGGTCATGATAATAATAATTAATAATAATAATAATAATAATAATAACAATAAAGCCAGCGGTTAGGAGCACCGGTTCTGGAGTCAGATGGCCAGAGGGTGAAGGAGGTCCTGTGTGGCTCTTTGCTGGCTGTGTGATCTCGGCAGAGTCACGGTACCACTCGGACCCTCAGTGGCTTCAGCTGTAAAACGGGCATCATAGTGTTCCCCCTCAAAGGCTTTCGTGAAGGTTAAATAAAAGGTTTAGTGGGAAGCCCTGTCTGTAAACACTCAGTAAACATCAGCAGCCACGATTGTTGTTATCAATGTGATCATTATTCATATTTATTTAGCTCCGTTGAGCCAGCTAGAGTATAGACCCTGGGTTTACAGAGGTAAGTGTTTCAGCCAATGGACGTACTTGAGTGGAAGGAGTGTCACATTTCTATTGGTAAACATCAGTGAACTTCTGTTAAGGCCCCTTTTATTCATAGATTTGATATTTGGCCTGGCTGGGAAAGCTGATTGCTGACTGTTTTGGTTATCTAGGTCACTCCGAAACTTAGTGGCTTAAACCAACAGCGTTTTATTATTATTATTTGCTATTTTAAAAAAGATTTTATTTATTTATTTATTTTTAAAGATTTTATTTCTTTATTCATGAGAGACACACAGAGAGGCAGAGAGACACAGGCAGAGGGAGAAGCAGGTTCCCTGCGGGGAGGCCAATGTGGGACTCAATCCCAGGCGGGATCAACCGTGAGCCAAAGGCAGACGCTCAACCACTGAACACCCAGGCATCCCTGATTTTATTTATTTATTTATTTATTTATTTATTTATTTATTTATTTATTTATTTATTTCGAGAGGAACAGCATGAGCAGGAGGAGGGGCAGAGAGAGAGGGAGAGAGAATCTCAAGCAGACTAGCGCAAAGCACAGAGCCTGATGTGTGGCTTGATCTCACCACCTGAGCCAAAATCAAGAGTCAGATGCTTAATCAACTGAGCCACCCAGACGCCCTGAAACTAACAGTTTTATTATTGCTAACAATTCTGTGGGTTGACTGGGTGATACGGAAGCTTCATGTGGTTTCAGCTGAACTCTGGGAAGATGAGAGGGTTGGAGATCACTTCACACACAGGACATCTGGTGGAATTGTCGGCCAGGACCTCAGTTCTTCTCCAGATACCTTTTCTACTTGCCTTGGTTGATCGTCTCAAACCACGGTGGGTGGCTGTAGGCAATTTGACCTCTTTCCTGGTGGCTAGCTTCCTTCAGTCTTTATTGTACATATGTGCAAAAGGAAAGTAAGAGATTATATATGGAAAAATAATTGATTTTACTTTGGCCCTCTTTGAACAAGTGTTGGGTGAGAAACTAGAGAAAGCCTTAAATACTCTGTGGCAGATGGCTGAAGACTTGCCCCAACAAGGAGGGAAACCACCATCATGGCTCTGAATATACCCATGCCTTGGTATTGCAACTTTGGGAGTCTCGTGGGGCTTCCTGTTGAAGCAGAGGTGGAAGCTACCAGGTGCTGGACTTCATGACTTTACAATATAATTGATTTAAAGTAAGCCATAGTAGGAGGGCCTGTTCCCCCACAAAACTCCCTGGGTCCCACCTTTATACTTTACTGGGGTGGCACTTGGGAGGTATTATTATGCTGTGACTGACAGCAAGAACCCTGAGGTCCTGTGACCCACTTCCTGCCTTTAGCTGTGTCATAATATTGGACAAACAGATCGATCCCTCATTCATTCTGTTCAATTTCTTCATCTGGAAAATTAAATAATAGAAGATGCCTCAGAGAATTGATAAGATTAGATGAGATAGTACACATGTAACAGTTTAGCTCAGTGCCTGGCATAACGAGTTTTATAGTCAATGAATTATTATTATTTTCGTTGTCATTACCAGTGCTGGGCTTTCACGTAAGATTTTCTGGTTCAGTGTTTATGCTGCTACTCTGTGAGGTAGGTGAGATTATACCTATTTTACAAACGATAAAACTGAGAAATCAGAGAGGTTAAATAACTTAAGTAGTGTGGCACAGCTTGTAAATGATAGTATTAGCAGTCAGACTCTGTTCCTTTTGACTCTTTTTTCTTCTGTCACCCAGATCAGCCTCACAAGTATTCTTAACCTAATGTTAGGGCATGGATCTCAGTTTGGGTGATTTTAGGTCTGTTGTCTTCCTTGGTTGTTTTGTGTAAGTGATGTGATAACTGCTTCATTTAGGCTCTAAGTTGCTTTGGGCAGGGACACAGGTCATCCTTTTTATAACCCAATGTCCTGTTTGAGCTAGGTGTTTAATTAATGTTGTTACGTGTAACAATAATGGATTACAAGGCTTGTCTGATTTACTTTGTGATTCTTGATTAAATTTGGCTAACTTAAAAAAAAAGCCTTAATGAATGGATGCCTTGTTTTTTTAAAATCATTCAGAGTCTTCAGGCCATCGCAGCACAGAAAAGATTTAATTTTAGAGAATTACCTTGCTAAATTCCTTCTCTTGAGAGCAGAAAGTGTGTGGGGTGGCCTGGCACATTGGTCCCTGTGGCGGATCGCACTGGAAAGTGGAACTGTGTGAGTTTGTGCCTACGGGGCCTGTGAATTTGCTTGTAGCATGTGCAGCCTGAAGAGGTGCTACTCTTGGTAAGGTTTGCTTGGCCAACTAGAATTTAAGTGTATGCTGGTGGTAGTTGAAAACAAAAATGAGGGTGATCCATCGTGGATGAAAAGACACCTAAGTGACCGATTACCGAATAACACTATGTGGTCAGATTTGGGCTCTTAGTTGAACAAACCAGCTTTAACAAGACATTATTGAAACAGTGAAGACAATTGAACTTGGACTGGGTAGTAGATGATGTTAAGAATCATTATTAACTTTGTCAGATGTGATAGTGGTTTCACAGTTTTGTTCCAAGGGGAAGGGCCTTTTCTGAGAGAAACAAGCTTTTATGGGTGAAATGATTTGATGTGTGAGGTCTGCTTTCAGATACTGCAACAAACAATAGACAAGCACAAACTTGGGAGGAAGGATAAATGGGGGAAAAGGGGCAGAATATTGATACTTGTTGAGGCTGGCTGCTGGGGATGTGTTTTTGTTTTTTTTTGTTTTTGTTTTTTTTATTATACTGCTCTCTCTGTTTTTGCATTTGTTTGTAATCTTCCATAGTTAAAGATTTTTTTAAAAATGAGGTAAAAGTTTCGTATGTGATCCAGCATCTGCACAGAGTTGGAAAGCTGGATGTCATTTCCAAAGTCGCTGCAACAGTACTGTACTGTTGGATCTGGCCAACTACATTTAGCTTTCAAGGATGGACTGGTGGACTGTATTAGCATTTAGGGTACGGTGTTTGTTTTCAAATGTTTGTATCTATGAAAGAAGTCGGGAAAAGGGCATACTTCTATTGATGAGAAAGCCTAGGTGC